GGCAGTATGCTCCTGTCATCCGGCCCTGAGCCATTTTTTTTCCATGGCAGCATGTTCACATCATCCATCTCTCAAGCCAAAATTTTTCATGACCTGATGGTCATATCATCCAGATCATAGAGGTTAAGAAGAGAAGAGGAAAAAAAGAACTATCTTCTGTATCTTCGAAGAAAATGAATAATACCTCAACATACAAATAATACTTTCAGCAAGTCATCTAATTCTGTATCCATTAAAAGTCCAAAGCCACATCAACAATAACAACAAAAAATTTAAGTTCCTTTTTTTCCCCACTATAACTGAGATTTTTTGTTTCACAACTAGTTAGGTATGGTGATTCTTGATAATTTTCTTCAGCTTACAAAGCAATATAACCCATTTCTTTATGTCACTAACTAATTTCTATGGAGAGAACTTTTCAATGGTTATAAAAACTTGCATGTTTTTATGGGGAGGGGATTAGCATTACACCAAACTGACATTTCCATCAAAGGTTAAAAAAAATTATACTTGAAGAAAACTATTTCTTGGCTATCACTCTAGGTAACTTATTAGGTCTAGGTGCCTTGCAGTTCAGCTTGCACTAGAATCACAATCTGTAAATTAGGCTTATTTGGGTGCAGACTTCCCCGGGTATGTGGCTTGTAGGCCCAGTCCACCTGAACATTCCTGCAAGATAGCAAGACTGCTAGCCTCTTTGCAATGCTATTATCTCTTTTTGGTAGACAATTTTTTAAGGTTTCCCCGAGTTGCTTATAATTAATAATGTTTCATCACACCAGACTCCATAATATATATACAGCTAGTTTACACTAGAGCTATTTTCATATAAAATTTCCATAATACACCCTGCATTGGCAGTAATGACAGGCAGGTTCCTGCAAGTGGACATAGTGTCCTCCCTGGAGATGGTCCTTTCCCAAGCATGGCTAACAGCTGATATGCAAATCTTTATAGACAGGTAGAAATCCTGCAGGAGCTTGCAAATGAGCCTATTCCTAATGGCCTGCTGAATCAACCTGTCTAAATGCCAATTTTTTTCATGATGAGTTATGTCACCCATCCAACAGCCTAATTTTTCTGAAAAGAAGTCCACATCATCCAGATCCAATGAAGTAATGGGTAAATGTCTTTCCCAGAATCTTGATTGGTCATACAATTAGCACCTAACAAATACACACATACTTTCATCAACCCATCAGAAACCCGTACAATGCCTGTTATGCATTCTAACCTCTGCTTTTCCAGCTCAAAACCCATTACTCACCATGAGATCCTTTAGCTGACTAAGACGTGAGATGTAGGGAGTGAGGGTAGCATTGAGGTAGGTCATGATAGTGGGCTGGTCCTTGCCCACAGAGAGCACTCGGCTGATGATGGTCATGATTCGCTCTGTCTCAGCACTGTCAAGTCGACTCTGCTCCAGTGCTCTCTGTTGAGGAAAGTGGAGTGAATTAGAAGGGGATTCTTGCATACAATTTCAGTAGCTTCCTGCAAACACTTCCACTTTCAACATTTCTGAAACATTCCTTCAGTGACTTCTCTCAGAAGCCTGAACAAAACTGCTTCTAATACAATCAATGAACAAAACACATCACACAGCAGAGCAGCCTTCTCACCTGACAGCTTGTCAAGATGGGTTGTGAGAAGGGAGATATGGTGAGAGGGCACTCTAACGTAAGGTCCCTGAGGGCTTGGGAGGCAGCCCCAACAAGAGAGGCATTTACAAGTCCTTCCACCATGAGGGGAATGACATGGTGCATGTGATCTTGGTGGTAATTCAGCCAATCTGCATATGCTCCTGTTGAAATTAGCAAGCATTAATACAACTTTGGACACAGGACTCATTTCATCAAGATGAGAATGTCATTAATGAAAATGACAATCAATCCATAACCATATATGAATAAAGCTATTAAATACATATTAGCAGAGATTTGTGAAGAAAACAATCTTAAAAAGCCTTGGTAACTAACCTAGTGTTGTTAATGCCACAGATATTAGTTGAATATTATCAGAGAATGGTATCTGAGGTATACTCTGAATGAAGCGTGGCACATAAAAGTTATCTGTTTCAGCAACAGTTTCAGCTACAGAGGAGTATGCATGCAGGACTGCCTCCAAGTACCGCCAGTCAGTGGGGTCACTCTGCATTTTAACTACAGCATCCTTAAGATGAACTTCTAAATGACTCAGCATATCTCCTCTTAATACATAATATGCATACATCTGTAAGAGAGAAAAAAAATCAATAATATGTAAATCCGTGAACACTCTTTTCCATTATACATTTCAAATCCTTTGCTCCTTTTCAATTATTTGCAATGATTTGCAAACGTGATTTCCTTCTAATCCCTTTTTTATAACCTAAAATATTATTCAACATTTTATTTGTTTAAAATCCAGTTAGTTTGCTACTCTCCAAGCCTCATATGAGCCTGCCAAAGATGCAACAAAATCATAAAAATTCAAGCTACATTTACTTATACTCTTGATATATATATATATATATATATATATATATATATATATATATATATATATATATATATATATATATATATATATATATATATAAATCAAGCCCCATTGTTAATCCTAATATGTTCCCATATATTTACATTTAGATTAACATCTTAAAAAAAAAAAAAAAACATCTATCTGCTCTTCCAGCACTCACATAGGTATCACAGATGTCTTGTCTGTAACAACGGAACATTTCCTTCTCCTCTGCGGACAGAGCATTATCTGGAGGCAGCAGGGATTTCTGGATGAAGGTATCCACCAATTTCAGGTACACTGGCTGGAAGAGCTGAAGCAATAGTTTTACCTCATCATTTGCATGCTGAGCCTCCTCCAGCACAGGCCTCAACCGTAACATCTGTGTGACGAAGTCCATCACTGTGTTGGGGATGTTATAAGTACCAACATCAGTCACTGCAGTTCTTAATGCTTCCATGACAGGCTGAAATAATTTTTAAAATATTAATTTTCAATTATCCAATGCCATTATCTCTTTGAAGACATCAATTAAGACAAATATTTCAGAAGAACTCATCCAAAAGACTCACTTCACACAAGAGAGCGTAATTGGAGTAAGGTATTAACGCCACAAGTAGGTCTCTGGTCTCAGAGAGTGGCAAGGAGAGCTTGAGCCACGCATTCAAAGTCTTGAGCACTACTTCCTTTATCACATTGCTGATCTGTCCAGCTTGCATCACTTGGGAGATCAAACTCAGCACTGCATGGGAAAAAAAAAATGTAGAAATGAAAGATACCGACTGTTGATCAAAAACTTATTATGACAAGACACATCTCAAAATAGAACTTTGATACTGGAAAAAAAATTTAGTACTACTGACACTACAATCTTCACTGTTAACAATCAGAATAAAATAATGATGTTATAACTACAATCATTTTGAATACCGTTAATTCATATCATTTCCAAATTGTACCGTACAAAAGAAAAAGAAAGAAAGAAAATGAGTGGAAAAAGCAAAGGACAGAATAAGAGAAGCAAACTCAAAATTGAAGTTTACACAGAGAGGAGGAGAAAGTGATTGCACACTTACCTGACTGATGGCTATTTCTAACAGCTGCTGTTATTACCTGCTTGTCTTTACTATTGATACTCATTGCTTCTTGCATAGTTTCCAACTGAAAGTCAAGAGGAAATACATATACAGTATATACATACAAACCAGAGAAGACTGAAATATAAATAAAACATAAGACATAAACAGCTTTCAGCTAAACTTCTTAAGCAACTGGGAACAATACATAATAAACAGATTTCACAAAAATAAAAGTCATTTCACAATTCAAAAAAGTTAAAAAAGATGGCACATACCTCCTCAGGTATTATAGTAAGTATACTAAATAGAAGATTCAGTGCTGTGGAAGGTTCGATGCCTGGCACCGTTCCTGGGTCGAACATGGTAATAATGTCCTGTATGGCGGTAGTCCAATCATGCTGGATAGTGTGGATGACATATGCCCCTAACTGTAAATAGATAAATAAATGGGTCAATTAGCAGAAAAAAAAAAAAAAAAAATCCTTTAAAAAAATTATCTACAAATAAAACTGAGATAATTAAGTAAGTATGAATATAAGCACGTGCAAAATCATTGATCAATATATCAATAACTGAAATAGCAACCAACGGCCTATGAAGCAGTAATTTTCAAACTGAATTTTTTTTTTTTTTTAATAATATAGAAAATAAACAACAAATAAGAAAAGAAAGACAAATAAGATTACTTACAGATTTGACTAATCTATTTAGAACGACTTTAGAATTGCTATACTGCGCTATAAGGTTAAGGATCTTGATTTTAAGGGGTTCATATTCTTCCTTAGGGACTTCGTGCCAATATCTCGACACCTTCATGTATACTGTGTTTCCTGCGAAGAACTGCACTTCTTCCGGCTGAAACGAGACAAAAGGTAATCACACACAAATAAAGTAACAGGGGAATGAAACGTAAGGCATTAAAGGATAACATTCACCTTACCATAAATCTAAACATCTATATACTGTACGGCTATAGTTCGACAATGGCTTTTTTTTTTTTCTTTTTCTTTTTTTTTTTTAGCTCTTCTAACTTCTCCTTTATACCTTCTGCTCTTTTATTAATGTTCTTTCTCATCTTCTTTTTCTTGTTTTTCTTTTTCTTCACATTTTTTTTTATGTCTTTTTCTTTTTTTCTTCATTATCTCTTTCTTTTTTTCTACTTTATAAGACGGATCAGTCTAACAAAAAACCACCGGTCAAAGCGAAATCATCCACCTTGCGCTCCGTAAATAATAACCTCCGGTGCCTAGCCTAGGCCTCCTTACCTTCCTGGGGTCTAGAAGAGGCCACGCAAAGGTCCAGGAGTGGCGGGAGTGCTGGGCCTGCATAAGCCATGTGTTAAGGCCACTCTTGGCAACTGGGTCCCGGTAGAACTCCACCACCGCCTGCTCCACCTGCTCCGCTGACACCTCCATCTTGTTA